CTGTTTGTTCCAATTTACACAATTTTCTCAACACGTTGTATTGTGTTAAGCAGCACATATTTCAAAAATAAATTACTATATTTCACTCAAGCGTGGTTTGCAAATGCTGATGAAAAGGACACTACATGTAAACTGGCAAATGATCTTTTATCCTGCAATTCATAAACGCCTTTTTTTCTTTTTCAGGACTCAGCTGTGTGACAGATGAAACGAATTTTTAATCATAATATCGACCCATTTTATAAAATTGTAGCTGACTAAGACTCAGAAAAGTATCATTTAAAATAATCCCACAACTTTTGCATGTCATATTCATTTTAACGTACTGAATATGTAGATAACATAAACAGTTCTTACTTATTCAGTGTGCCCCCCAGTGGCACAGCGGTATGTCTGCGGACTTACAACGCTAGAAACCGGGTTTCGATACTCGTGGTGGGCAGAGCACAGATAGCCCTTGTGTAGCTTTGTGCATAATTAAAAACAAACTTATTCAGTGTAATGGCGTATATGAAACACAATAGAGTTCAGGAAATTACTTCTCTTGGAATTATTCCAAATAATTCAAAATCATTGTCATTTTTAATGTACGTATTTCGATGGCTGGTTTCACGGGGTTAATGTGTCGAATAAATATATGATTCTTTTTTTTCCCGCCTTTTTGTCTCTTTGGTGGTTCAATAATCTTATTTTATATTTTTTTGTCCACCTGATCGAAACCAAAGGCCATGTCAGAAATTATCTTATGGTCCAGGCATAACTGTCGCTCATTTTGAATTGTTTGAAGCAGTTATTCTTAACCGAGTAACAGGTTCGATTGTACCTCCTATAACACACACACAAGTGAAAATGAGGAGCGTGTTTGCTAGAACAACGTCTCAAACCCGAGACTCTCATATCTAGAATCCGATACATTAACCACTAGGCCACAATATGATATAACGGCTATAGAATATCTTTATTTCAAAATAAATACTCTCTATCTCTGTAGTTTATTACAGTCTATTTATTTAATTGTGTTTTCTTGTAAATTACCTTTCAAAGTTTCTGAGAGCGTAGAAAAAGAAAGTGAATCATTGTATATAAATGGGTTATTGTAGAATCTGACAACTTTTGAACGTTTATAAAAATCTAAAAGAATTCTGTGACTTACCTTAACGTCGTAGTTTTAGCATTAAGCTAAGTGACCGTAATAATGAAATCGATTATTCAATATTTCTGAGTAAAAATGACAGTGGATCATTGTTTACAAATCAGTTGTTGTAGAGTCTGACAACGTATTGTCTGATAGTGGATCATTGTTTACAAATCAGTTGTTGTACTATCTGAAAACGTATTGTCCGATAGTGGATCATTGTTTACAAATCAGTTGTTGTAGAGT